TCATATAATATTATATATTTGAAGGTTAAACTTAGAACGTTAGATGTTATCCTGGTGAAATGAGTGTGTGTGTGTGCTCGAGTTAAAAGTAGGTACTCTGTTAAATGTCTCCTACAAAGTTAAAGTGAGAAGTCTTAATGCTTTTATTCTGTTTGTATGTGTTGTAAATCTTACTTTTATTAAATACAGTAAATTTTCACTTTAGACGGTCTTCAAGGAATCAACTTTCTAAAACGTTTTAAGAAGAACATCTGTGAGAATTGAAAACAAAATTAAGTGATTAAAATGTTGAGCTTTACATATATTTATTATTAAACATAATTTAATAAGTAATATTTATAAATTAACTACGACCTGTCACAGCTTCGCCCGTGATTGGTTTTTATTTGCCTTCGACCATGATATGAATTTTTATCAAATATTATTGTTTAATGTGATCGGCAAGTAAATATAAAACGGTTAATGAAAACGGATTGAAATTTTCATGTTATAAATGATAAAGTAATAAAGATAAAAAATAATTATTTATGGTTGATAAAGAACTTTATTGAAGTTGAAGAAAAAAAAATTAAATAAGAATTTTATAAGACTACAGTATATGATGTTTTGTTATATTTCTGTTGAAATTAAAATCATAAGATGATTCGGGTCCCAGTTCGAGAAATGCCACGTATATGCCCATGTAAGCACTCTGTACGAAGATCTACGCCAACGTACTTGAATGTTTGACCTTGCGCTTTGTTTATGGTATTGCAAAAACTTTAACCGGATTAAGCGTTTGAAAAACGGTAAGTCATTATGGAAATTATCATGAGGAATCATGGGAATTCGCGAATAAATGCTCCCTTTCGCTGCCCTGAAGAATTATCGGCTTCTATAATATTATGTCGCAACGATTTTATTTGTAATCTTGTACCGTTACATGTTCGGTGGTTGAGGAGGTTTAGAGGAAATCGAAGGAAAAGGTGAAATTTTGGATAATGAATAGCATCATCGTTGATGTAACTGTATCAATAGATATAGTTCACAGCTTCGCCTCGTGATTGGTTGTTTTTTGCTTCGGACTATATGTAGAATTTTATTCAAATATTTTGTTTAATGTGATCGCAGTAAATATAAAAACGGTTAATGAAAACGGATTGAAATTCTTCAATTTTAAATAATTTTTCTTTATGGTATTGGCAAAGAACCTTTAACGGAATTGAAGCCGTTTGAAAAGAGTAGTCAGAGGAATCATGGGAATTCTGGAATAACATCTTTCTCCTTCGCTGGCCCTAAAATTACGCTTCTATAATATATATTTCCCAACGATTTTATTTGTAATCTTGTACCGTTACATAGTTCGGTGGTTGAGGAGGTTTATGAGGAGAAATGAAGGAGAAAGAGAGGAAATTCTTGTGGATAATGAATACATCATCTGTTGATGTAACTGTTATTACAAAGATGTTTTGAGTGGTGAGAATTATCAATTAAACTTATAATTGGTCTGAAGATCCATGTGGTAAAACACTTTACCGTCAGCGCAGCAAAGTCTTGGGTTTCATCTTTCCATTTTTGCATAGCACTTAGGACATAATATAGTCATTTGTCCAATTTGAAGCGCTTTAATATTTAAATAACCAATCTCGGATTGATAATTAAACGCTGATTCATACTCAAAGCGTTTCAAGTTGCTCCTGTGCAAGTGTTTGAGAACGTTCTGGTGTGTTATTTTGTTGCCTTCTGTTATACATTCGAGTTTGCGCTCTCGGCATGATAATGAATTAGCCACATGATTTAGATTTGTATTTATATTTGTTTTATTTTGTAACCTAGTTACATAGCTTCATTTTGACATTTCAAGCCCTACTATTATCGATATTTGTATATTTATATTTTATCTGCTAGGGCGCCACGGTGTAACTCAGTTTTGTCTCTAAATCTTAACTCATAGGAGTTTCGAAAATCTTTCTTGGGCCTATACATAGTAATAAGTACATATCCTGAAAATTTCAAATAAATCCGTACGGTAGTTTTGGCTGTACGTTGATTATTGGTAAAGTATACTTTCTCTTATATATAGTATAGATTATAATTACTTTTTCTATTAAATTTATTTAAAAAAATAAATAAATTTATCAGGGCTTGCAAACGTTATAATAACGTTATATTTGACAAAAAAAATGATTAAAATAACGTAATTATAATGGAAAACGATAAATAAATAATTCGATAACACAAAACAATATATAACAGTTAACAAAATATATGAAATACTATTAGCAATACATAAAGCAAAAAGTTATATTATATAATATATCATTAAAAGAAATAATTAATTTCCAATTATTTAATAGTTATAAACATAAATTAAAATACTGGTTTCGTAGTAATATTCATTTTACGCAATTTATTTTTATTCAACCAAGAACTAATTTTATTCCCGCATTAGATTTTATTTTAAAATTTAATAGGTAAGTGTAAATAGGTTAATTTAATTGCCAATAACTAATAATCTTATTAATAATAACAATTAATGATACCCTGATAATATTAAACCGTACTACGGTCGAAATTTAAACTATTCAACTATTGTGTTCAGTTTGCTCAGAATTGTTGAGGTGTCTGTTTTGGACAAATTTTATTGTTGTCTTCTTGTATAATTTATATTGACTCAGCTAGTAAGTACATACATTTTTTTTATATAAGCTTATTACAAATTTAATGTTGTGTATAAACACTTAAATTATATAAGTATTTATTGTAAGCAATTGAAAACCATGGATAGAAGCTTTGAAGTTTTATTCATAGTATGATACCGGTAGAATCATTTTTGATGTTCTTAAAACATTATGGATTATAGAATTTTTTAATTATGAACAGTTTCATTGTTTTTACTAGTCATCAGGGGCGTGCCAAAGAGGTGGTTTTGGGGGTTCAAACCACCCCCAAATTGACTGGCTTATTTTTTTCAACTTAATGATATTTACAAAATAAAAAATATACATTAACATAATATTATGGGAAAATCCGATAATATAATAATTAATAAAAAATAATACAATATTTGACGATCTTTGGGTTTTATTTTCTTTAGTACATTTCTGCGTACTTTATATTCGTAGACTTTATTTTATAAGTAACTAATTTATTAATTTATTTTTGACTAAACAAATTTTAATTAAATTTTTTTTTATTAATACAGTATATACTTACATTTATTTGAATGATATATTGTTCTAAGTATTGAAGTTTAACTTTAAAACTTTAAGGTTAAATTAAACCATCTCCAAAAAGAAATCCTGGGCACGCCCCTGCTAGTCATACTTGCTGAAACTAAGACAGTTGGACGTTTTTTAGAAATTTTACCACCTGAATATTTTTCTCCTTTAAATTTTAATTTTCAGTTAGAAAGAATTTTGTAAAAAAATTTAGTTTTATCTGCATTCTAAAATTTTGGTCATCAATGTATCTTTACGTAATTTAGGCCATACTTTTCGATCCAATTTTGTGTTATTTCAGCGCTGACTGAATTTGATTCTCCGCTTAATATTGAAAACACAACAGTATGCCTTGATATAAATCTTTGAATCGAACCAGTAGAACAATTAAAATTATACTTACCAAGGCCTTTAGCTAATTCATCGGCTTTCTGTTGTGCATTAATTGAAATGCGTAGATTTCTTTGATTTTTAAATAATCGTAATTAAATAGTGTCTAAATCCGTATATGTACAATTTTGAAGTTTCTTAACTGATAATTCTTTGTTTTTAAACTAGATCGATTTTGTCTCAAACTTTCCATATGTTAAAAATCATAGAGTTACCTATGCTTATTTCATTAGCCATGTTGGACTTTTTCACTTTTTTAAAACAAAAAATGACATTAAATTGTTCTCCAATTGAGAATTGCTTTCGTTTGCTGATTTTAAAATTTCACAAAATTCAACACACCAATACAAAACACAGTTAACTGCACGACGATTACTCGTACACTGACGATAAAATTAAAATAAACTGAGGACGAAACAACAACGGAATTATTGGTATTTTTTGTTGTAATAGTACCTACCTTCGATAAGGCAGTCATTATAAATAAAAGATTTTTTCAATATAACCAGAAATAATTGTCATAACATCCGTCATAATAATCAATATAAATTAATATACCCTCCTCATGCATGTAGGTATATGATACCATAACATATTATGGCGGTAAAATGATTTAAATTACACAATTATTTACAATTAATTGTATAAACTGATAATCAACGTATTATATAGTTTTTCTTCCGTGAAATATTCGATGTCCCTCATATTACACACTTTATATTATCAATATTTGAAAAATCATAATACGTTAATATGAAAAAACACGATTTTTGTTATGTCTGTTGTTAAGTTTTATTAATTTATAACTGTTGTTTAACTATTTTTTAATACTTATTAGTTTAGAAATGTTATAAAGAATTATATTATATAGGTATAGTTTTAATGATTTTATATTAATCTTACTTCGTAATACACACGATTATACATGGTATTATATGATACTACTGTGCAGTCAAGGTAGGTGTATACATAAAATTTTATTTAAAAATTTGTATATTTTATTTTAACTTTATTAATGTTAAATATATTTATGTCTTAGAAAAACTTAGAATTAATAGAGTACATGGTATTGAAAATAATTTGGTTTCTGATAAATTGCTGGAAAGAGGTTTTGTTCTATTGCTATTTCAGATGATAACATAACAGTAGTTCGTTTGAAAAATACCAAATTGGTACATACAATATTCACATATAAAGGAGTTATACCTGAAGATACAACAATGCATTATGACAGGAAAGATAGAAATAGAATTTAAGTTAGTAGACTTTATAGTATACACGAATACAATAAATTCACAGGTGGTGTGGACCTAATAGACCATATGATTGCCCATTACCCCCATGGATTTAAAAATAAAAAATGGTATCTCAGAGTTTTTTTCATTTTTTAAATGTAAGTATTATCAATTCATGGATACCATACAGAGGAAAATGCAGGATATTCCACTTCTTAATTTCAAAGCATCAATAGTTTGGACAATGTTTCGAATTGGTAGATATAGTGGGCCTAAAATAGGAAGAAAGTCACTTACACAGACACCAACCCCACCAAAAAAAAGAAAGAAGATCAAAGTTACAGTGCCTGAAGAACAATATGATGATGGTATAAACCATTATCCTGTAAAGACAATGAAAAAACAAGCATCAAAATGTCACAATAATAATTACATTTCCTGAACTAGGTATTTATGTAAAAAATGCGATTTCTCTTTTTGCTCAGTGTGTATGGAAAGTTGGTATACCAAAACACAGTGAACATTTGAGATTGAATTTCCTATAAATATTGTTTTTAGTTTATTATTTTTTGTTATGTCTATACAACATATTTTTTAATTCATAAGTGTAAAAGAAATTCTTATAAAAATTATTTTTATTTTATTATTTAAATATTTATTTTTTTTATGTATTTTAATATTTTACTAAAATATCATGTTATTTTATTAACTTTGAATGTTATACTTGTATTTTATTGTTCTAGTATCTGTATAAGATAATTCAGACTGTTATTAAAAATATTCATTGATAAACTTGAGCTATTTTTTTTCTGGTCCATTTCGGCACAGATGTATCATATGATACCAATTGTTTCAACCCTTAAAAATCGTTGAAGGGTTGATGTAGGATTTTTTTTTTCATTATTTGTTTTATGATTTTTCAGGCAATTTAACATAGATACAATTGTTTTTCTATAAAACCATAATTTTGTGCATGAAGAGGATACACGGTATAAGAGTTTTGCCGGGACCTTCAATCTAAGGTCATTACACCCAATATGCCATTATAAATGATTTATACTGTATTCTTATTTTTAATTTATATTATTACATTAATAAAAGTATTTATTTTTGTTTGTGGTTATAAAAATATGTTCAAGTAAAGAAGTTTTCTATTTTAACATAACTCAACATTTATAATTAATTCCTATTTTAATATCTCACAATTTCTAAAATGTATCGTTTTCTGCGAAACAAAAGAGCATCTTATTCGATTAAATAGAGAAAAATTAAATGTCTTAACAAGTTATATTTACAATGATAAGTTTAAGAATTGTTTAGGAACTGATGGAAAACAGCGTTTAATGCGGGAAAACGTCTTTAGCGAGTTTTACTGTATACATTTTTGAATATTGTAAATTAATTAAATAATAATTTCATATTCATAGTGTTCAAATCATAGGCGTGACTATGGGGGCAGCAGGGGCAGCACAAGCTGCTTAATAATACTAAAAAAATAATAATACTACTTTTAATATCTAAAAAGGTCGATGATTTTCATTTAATTTATGAAATGAAAAATATTATAATATTATTTCAATTAGATATTTTATATTGTTTTTCCCTTGCTAAAAATGCAATATTTGTATATAAATATAACATATTAACATATTATTCTAATATAAAAAGAATCGTAAACTGTAATCAGTTCATATTATATTGTTTAAATCAATGACCCAGTGGGCCGGAGGGGACTGCTTGCGCATTACTTCTTCCGAGGAATTACAGGTTTGGAGCGTTTAGATATAAAAATAAGACTAATCGTAATGTGTGTAAAAATAAAATTATTAGAATGCATTAATAGAGGTATATTTGAAATTCCTATGTATAATATTTTCGATAGAATTAACAAACACCACAGGGCACAGATATAATATTTTATGTCCGCGACAAACACTGAAACACGCAACGCACACATGTATAATATTGTTTCATGCTCATACATAATTATATTATTTAGTATTTCTGTTATTTATTTCGCTGAGTAGTATTAATGTAATTTAAACTTTAAAGTTATAAATTTATTGTAATCATTATACTCGTATACTCGTATAGCCGTATCATGGATGTTTTTAAAAATAATAAAAAAACAATTGGGAGGAGCTGCTAAAGATCGAAATAAAAAAAAAAAAATTAAATTAATAGAGGCAGCTAAATTGTGTCATAATATTAAAGATTTATTCAATAATAAGGTAAATTTAGTAAATAAAAAAAGTCAAGATGAAAATGAAAATATAATAGATGATCCTAGTGTCCTAGTCCAATTTTTTATCCAGTAAGTAATAATTAATATTGAAAAGTCATATAAATTTAACATTTAATCCAATAAATATTAAAATAATAATTTTTAATTGTCAATTATAGGAATCAATTGCTTATAATATTGATCCAAATCGTACAGATAATGTATCTAATAAAATAGTACAAAGTGATGAAGTTGATCTTTCAGTAAGTTGATTAATATTTTTTTATTATTCTATAATTTATTATTATTTAACCACTTATATCTATTTACTATTGTCTATTATAATAAATAATATATTATTATATATGAATATCAGAATATGAAAATTGATAATAATCATTGAGTTTAATGTTTATAATTTTATGAATCGTATATCTACAAATACAATTTTATACATTTATAGAATGAAAATGTGCAATCTACTAATCATGATAATATTGACAACAGTAAGATTGATTTTGAAATCATTACATTACATGAGACAGACATTATTGATTATAAAACAGGTACCTAATATGAATATTTAATAATTTATTTATTTATTTGATATTTATTATTTAATATAGTATATTAAAATAATTACTATGAGTCTACGACCAAAAACTAAATAGTCAAACTATACAAATTTAAAGAATAATACAATTTATAATTTTTATTTATTTGTTTGTATGTTTCAGTACCAATAACTTCAAATTTAATTGTAAATGATCCTACAATTAAATTGCCAACAAATCGTCTTGAATTTAAAGAACGTATTCATCAAGGTCCATATCGCCCAATTTTAAACATATATCCAAAAACTTTACAAGGAAGTACTATGCGATCATTTCAAAAGTCATGGTATGATCTTTATAGTTGGTTAGAGTATAGTCCTGTTGCTGATGCGGCCTTTTGTTTTTCTTGTCGGTGTTTTAATGGTCATGAAAAAAATAGTGGTCAAATTGAAAAAACTTTTATTACAACAGGGTTTAATAGTTGGTATAGGGCAACAACAAAATTTAAGAAACACCAATTATCTAAGTTCCATATAAACAGTATAGCAGCTATGGATCATTATTGTTCTAATAAATCAATTGATGAAATAATTGACAACAGTGTGACTTTGCAATTAAGTAAAAAAGAAAATGAGAGGTTAAAAAATAGAGAAGTGATGAAACGTTTAATCGATGTAATTATTTGTTTAACAAAAAGTGGTAAACCATTACGTGGTCACGATGAATCTTGTACCAGTCATCAAAAAGGTCTATTTTTAGAAGTAATTTATTTATTATCAAAATATGATGTAACATTAAAGTCTCATTTAGACAATGGCCCAAAAAATGCAATTTATTTAAGTAATGTAATTCAAAATGAAATTATATATTCTGTGCATAATGTACTAATTAAGAAAATTAAATCAAATTTAAAAAACACTCATTTTGCAATTCTAGCTGATGAAACAAGTGATGTGGGCCATCATGAACAATTGTCTGTGGTTTTTCGCTATTTTGATATTATTTTAAATCGTCCAATTGAGACATTTATCACTTTAAAACGTTTGTTTTCTGTAAATGCAGAATCTATTTTTAATACACTGAATGATATTATTACTTGTGAATTTGAATTGGATTGGAGTAACGTAGTTGCAGTATGCTTTGACGGAGCTGCAACTATGGCTGGTAGTAGTAATGGTGTACAAGCAAAGTGTAAACGTAAAAATGAAAACATTTTGCAAGTGCATTGCTATGCACATTGTCTTAATTTAACATTAATTGATGCAGTTTGTGCTAATAGTAAATTATGCAAAAGAAATAAATACATATTTGATTTTTTAGGAACCATACAATTTGTATATTCATTTATAGAAGGGAGTCCATCAAGGCATGCAATTTTCGAAAAAATTGCCAAAGAAAATGGCGTCAAATTACAAACATTGAAATCATGTTCTCAGACAAGATGGGCTTGTCGCGCAGAAGCAGTTAATGCAATTAAGAACAATTAAAATGTTTTAATAGATGTTTTAGATGAAATTATTTCTAACTGCTTAGTTCCTGAAATTAGAGCCAAGGGTCATGGACTAATATATCAACTTAAAACATTTGAATTTATTTTTTGCTTAAATTTTATGCAGCCAATATTACAAATGACATTAAAAGTAAGTTGCTCTTTACAAGCTTCAAATCTAGAACTTCTGACTGCGGTTTCACTTATACAAGCACTAAGATCTTCATTGAATTCTTTTAAAAACTTACCTACAGAATTTCAAACTATATTTTCAAATACTGAAAAAATGTGTAAAGAACATAAAATTGAAATACCAGAAGTTAAAAACAGAAAAATTTCACACAAATTAAAATATGATGTACAATTTTCTAAATCTAATTATAATTTCCTAACAAAGTTTGATGAAATGAAAGTAACAGTTTTTATACCAACATTGGATGTATTAATATCAGCAATTGATGATAGGTTTAAGCAAGAAACCACAGACTTAATAATTATAATTGGTAAACTTGTAAACTTAGATTTAGATGTGCAATTTCCTGGACTATACATTTTAGAAAAACTACTAAATATAAAAAATCATGAATTACTAATTGAAATACAACTTTTAACCAATATTCAAGACACACCCAAAGGAACATCATCAAAATGTATATACAAATGGATAGATTGGTTAGCGTTTGGTGGAAGATCAAGTACTTTTAATAATTTTTATAAATGTTTAACTTACTTTGTTGTCATACCAGTAACTTGTTGCGGATGTGAAAGAAGTTTTTCTAAAATGGCTATTATAAAAAATAAATTAAGAAGCACTATGGGACAAGAGCGACTTAACGCATTGCTATTTTTATTCATTGAGCAAAAATTAGTATCTGATATAGATATAGATGACATTATTGATGAATTTAAAACTTTTTCACAAAAAAGAAGACTTGCTCTTTAATAATAATATATATGCATATTGTATAAATATATTCCTTGTAAATTTTTAATGTCCTGCACTCCTGCGTTATATTGATAATATAATAAATGGCTTAGTTTTATAAAATAATTTTCTAATAATTATTATATATGTATAAATATGTACAATAATATTATATTATAATTATTATATTAATAACACTTATCCTAAATAATTTTATGATCAAGAGTCTAGACCATTTAATTATTATGATTGTTAAGGAAAATTTGAATATAAAAAAAAATTTTTGGGCCGTTTAGTGAATATGCTGCCTCTGTAAATGAAGTCTAGTCACGCCTATGGTTCAAATATTATATTAATTAACATAACTGTATAAATTACTTTTATGTTTATTAGCCACCCTAAATCTAACATATATAATATTATATTGCGTTTACAGTTTTGTGTTAGTCATACGTATTATTATTGTCAAGAAAATCAATATCTACCGTATAAACACACTGGCCCACAAATGATTCTCTCGTATTTCCATTTCAACGTTTTTTCTTGTTTTTTTTGTCCATTTGTTTTGTGATTTTGAGATGTGAATTGTGTGTTCAATATTTTTCGTAGGCTCACGAATTGAAAACCATCGTTCGACTTCAAATACCCAAATTTTATTACTACGTATTTCTGTTACTATGATTTCTTGACAGTACCAATCTGGATTTGTTCCGTAATTGTCATGCCAAATATGAATTGATTGAAGCTCTCCTAGGCTTTGAGGTGTAAAAATAATGAACCAGTCATCGTTGGAACGCTGCATCGTTGGGTAATTATCCAAACTATGGAGCCAATGTGGCTTTAACATTAATTTTAATTAGATCAAATACATATAAGTCGAGATAATTTATTTCCATTAAAACCAGCTATAAGAAAATTTGTAAATATGGTAAAAAAGCTGAACTTTATGTTAATAATATTTTATAGTTTATAATGTCCTCTTGGCATAATATAGAAAAACTAAAAACTTCTATAAAAATATAATCATTAACCTATGTATGACGTTAATTAATAACAGTTGTTACACCAGTTTTTGATGATAAATCAGTCATTTTTCAAAAATTCAATAATAGGTTTCATAAATAATTATGGGTTACAATCATTTTAAAGGGTTGTATAACATTATGAGTGATAATAAAAAATTAATCACTATATAAATTAATATAATTTTACCTTGTAAATTAACAATGGATGCAAATCCATTCTTTTTTTGGCATGGATCGTAATAGTTAATACGATAATGGCAATTTTATAATACATGCTAACACAGGGAAACGCTAAGAATGAACCAACTATAGTTTATGACACGAAAATAGGCCGGTGATCTCCGCGATCCAACTTTCAAAGAATCGACCTTTAATTACAGGTTTTCAAATTTCACTACCTCCCTACAATGCTTACACAATTGGCGTATATGTGTCTATGATAATCATTGATTGGAAATAACTGATAATCCGTCGTTGGCATACACTTAATTTTGAACACGATTACGACACTATGATCGTCGTGCTGAGACTTTATTTTTTATAATATTATTATTTGTTTGATCAAATTAAAAAGTACGGTATATTTCTAATGTAGAATTAATAATTTACCAAATAAAAATAAATCACTGCAATTTTATTCAAAAAACATATTTGTACATACAATGCTATAAAAATTCATTAAAATCTTAATATTAATGGGAATGTAATATTTATTAAATTAATTCAGTTTTTGAAATATTTGATTCATTTTTGTCGTTACGGCAAGATACGCATGTGTTCGTGGTGTGTTCTTTGCATATTGGCATGCTACATATTACGCACTTGGTAAACAATATATTACTTACAAACGATGATTACTTATATACCATATTATTATTGTATTCTTAATATATTTCCTTACCACAGTCTTCTGATTTTTCCTTTTAGGACAAAATACACATTTCGGACGATTTTTAGTATTTGAACGTTCAAAGACCACATTTACTATCGTGGTGTGACCAGTCAATTTCATTATTCTATGTCGAATACACGTACGCAAAGTAGGCAACTGTAAGCGTTCCACATAAACGGTTTTGTCAATTCTTTTTCCAAGGATTTTAGAAATTCTCGACTATGTATATAAATCCCATAGTTTTCTTGAAAAATTATTCAGCTATTTATACCTCCTACATATTTATTAAATAGAGAGAAAAATAGTTAGTGACCATCTGCAATTGATTCTGGTCACAAAGTATTCGTCCTTTATTTTATCAACGCAATTTACGCCATCTTTTACACTGTTTTAATACATTATAACCTGAGGTTTTCTTTGTTCAGATTTTGGATGAATAACATCATGTTCGAGCATTGTGAAAATAAGCAATACGTTTTTATTTTATTTTTTGGCACATAAGACGTAAGCAATATGTTTTTTTTCATAACCAAACATCGTCGAGTTTAATTTTCTTTTTTTGATGTCTAAAAAATAAGGAAGAATTTCACGTTTGTTTTTTCCGGAATGTACCGATTATAGTTATATAATGGTTTTTCAATAGATCATTTGTCAAGGACATAAAGTTACACCGATGTTTTAAAATGAAATTACGATCGAATTTAGTAATAGGGTCAATTAATCTTTTTACAACACTTTTAGGATTATTTTTGAATTTATAATACCCATAAGGCTGAGTCCAACATATACTTCCATTTTTTACCTAATCGACTATGGCATGAATTTGTATACCATATTTATTTGGTTTACTTGGTATATATTGCCAAAAACTACAACAACCCCAAAAACCTTCGAGTATTTCATCTATAGTTACGTTTTTCTTCACTGTAAAGCAGCTATCGCAACGTAGAATAAAGTCATCAAATACTGAACAAATTGCCGCAAATTTATCAAATTGTTTTCTTTAAGCACGTGTATCTTATTGTCAAACTTCAATACTCTTAGCAGAATATAAAATCACTCTTTTGTCATAACTATTCGAAGGTACTTTGGGGAAGAGATTTTATTTGACCAAAAATCGTCAAGGTTGAGATTATTACTACGTAAAACACCAGTCAAATATAACAGTCCAAAAAGCGTGTTTATTTCGGTTTCTGATGTTCCGTGTACCATACATTAATATGTATATTTTGAACGAATTTTATCAAGATATATGAAAGTATATTTTATCGTATAATCAATAAAAAAATAATTTCCAACACTCTAAAATTGAATTTACTTTGCGAGCTTGGTACTCGTTTTAAGCTTGGTAAATTTAAAACGATGTTATGTTTGCCGTTTGCGAGTATGCACATTAGTAGACGTCCTTTACCATTTTGTTAATTTATCTTTACCTAAGTAATAATAATTCTGTATTATAGGACTACGATTTCTCAAAAGAAATATTTGCAGAGTATTCGATTTGTGTACTATTAGGTTTAGATTCAGAAATGTCATCAGACATGTTTTCTCGTACTTCAACGGGATCTATAAAACTAAGGTGTTAGTATCGGTAGGAATCGTCTGAGTCTTCTAAAGATTGTTCTTCGCCTTTCGGTTTCCTCTAATCACAAAATTACTTGATCGGTAAGGGTTATTGATAAAGCACTATAGCAAAAAAAAAAGAAAATAGAAACAAGTGTACGTAATCGACGGCGGCGGCAAAAATATTGCACGGTTAGTAACTACAGCATTAGCGCGACGCTCACATCTTAATCGGTATTCTCGATTTTGCGAAACGATAATTATTCAGGAAATCCAAATAACGCTATTATTTATCTATTTAAATATATATAGATATATGTTATTAGAATGTATTTATAGTGTTAGTTCAATTCGATGATATTTCTGCGAATAACGGTTGAAATGTTATCCGTGTGAGCGGCGAGTGTATCAGTGACGGAATTGAGTCACACAGATCACCAGCCATTTTCGTGTCTTGGACTATAGTTGGTCACAGATTAATTACATCAAATATTATGATAATATAATAATTGTGTGGAAATATTTACTAAACTCACTTTAAAGCTGCGTATACAATTGTAACATTAGCGCGTAACGTAACGCCGAATGTTACG